TGTCCACAAAATGAGGTGTGACCTAACAGCTGGGTGGTCTCCCATGCTGGAGACTCCCGGAGGTGTTCGTGCAGGGCGATTCAACAAGCGTGAGTTGCCACAAACTTTTATATGTTCATTTTGTGCACACTAATTCTGTTGCATTATTTTTTATGGCTTATCCTATGTATATTGATTTAGTTTATAATATTTATACAGTAGAACATTCGTATTGGTCAAGGGAATTGTTACACGTGTCATTAATGTGTCCAAAAACATTGTTCATTTTTTCAATAATACATGTTCAATTTATAACTTATTTACACTATACACCATCACACTATATACGTCACTATAAACACAGTACTGCACGAGTGTGTGGAAATCAGCGAAGCAGTTACTGGTGCACAAGGCAACTTTGCACTCAAAGCACCACATACAGATAGATTTTCCTTCCTCTCTACAGTGTGTGTGCCTGCAAACAATGCAAACCTGTTTACCCTTTTCACATGAACCTGTACTTGACATCTAACCAAGCTTGTGTACAGGGAAACCTTTGTAACTCAGTTTGCCGGGAGCTGCATAAGGCATTGATGGTGTATAAACTCGCGTTATAACACCACCTTCCAGGCTAAATTTCACAAGTGTGACAGCAGAATAAGTGTGTGTGTAATAACCTAAGTGTAATTACCTAAGTGTAGTTACTAGATGAGAGCTATGCTAACCACCTGCCACCAGTAATTGTAGCAATGTGGTGGGTGGTGTTGGTGTCTGTAATTACCTATGTGTAGTTACAGGATGAGAGCTACGCTCTTGGTGTCTTGTCTCCCCAGTACTCTTTATCGTATAATGCTTCAAAACTACTGACAGCTTTTGGCCTCCACCACCTCACTTAGTTTGTTTCAACCGTCCACCACTCTTGTTTGCAAAAGAAAATTTTCCAATATTTTTTCGGCACCTCTCTTTCTTAGCTTGTGTCCTCTTGTTCGTGAAGTTGCTAGTTGCAGGAAATCCTGTCAATTTAGTCTATTCCTGTTAGTATTTTGTAAGTGGTGATCATATTGCCTCTGTTTCTTCTATCTTCTAGTATTGGCATGCTTAACGCATCTAAACTCTCCTCGTAACTTGTTTTTCAATTCCGGCAGCCATTTTGTAGCATGTCATTGCACCTTTTCCAGTTTATTTATGTGCTGCTTGAGATTTGGGCACCATATAACTGCTGCATATTCCAATTTTGGTATCATAAGTCATGAACAGTTTCTGTAGTACTTCATCATAAATATAATTAAAAGCAAGTCTGAAATCTGAAAGCAAAGCATACGCTCCTCTCACAATGTTCTTTGTTCCTCTGGTGACAGCTTCCAAAACCACCCTTGAGTCTTGTTCTTTATTAGAGTTCTGCAATTCCTTTCCACATAATGTGCAAGTTGTGTGGTGTCTTTCTCCGATTCCACATTCTATAACATGGCATTTATTCACATTGAATTCCATTTGCCACTTGACGCTCCAAGCATTTGTTTTATCTAGAGCAATTTGAAGGACATTACAATCGTCTGCGTCTCCTATCTTGGCATCATCCGCAAAAATGTTCATATAATTCTGAACATTATGTTCAGAATTATATGAACATATATTAACTGTTCAATTATATGAACAGTTAATGTTGACAATGAACGTTACTGGTGCAAGAACTGAACTCTGGTACTCTGCTAGTAACACTCCTCCAGTCAGATACATTGGCTCTGATTACCGCTTTCATCTGTCAGAATATTTTTCTTACATGTCAGAAGACTGTCACCCCTCCAGTATGTTCATTTCCAGAACAGCATCTTGTGCAGGACTCTGTCAAAAGCATTTTTTAGGTTCAGGTCAACCAAACCCCCTCTTTCCTGTAGAATCTCTGTGGCCCTATCATTAAAAACTAAATAGATTTGCTACACAGGATCTTCCTGTTCGAAAACCACTGCCTGTCCGTTATTATGTCATTACTTCAGGTTTTCAACCCATTTGGCCTTAACTATTTTTTCTAGTGTTTTGTCTACCACGCTTGTTTATGATGCGGGTCTCTAATTTAGAGGATACAGGACTGTAATGTGTGGGTGTGTAGGAGTGTTTCCCTTAGAGGAATGAGGCACACATCCTCTCAGCCCAATGCCTGGACAGCGAGTGGCACACAAAGAACCCTTGCAAGAGCCGGGGTGGGGGAGGGAGGAGGGTGGCAGGCCAGAGGGGGAGGATGGAGGGTGGGCAAGGGAAGGAACTCGACTACCTGTACCAGTAATCTAGCCAGCCCCTCCCCACTGGCTTTGCCCGCTCTGCCCTGCCCCAGGTGGGTGTCAGGAGGGGAGGGAGGAGCATAAGGATGGTTGGGAGGGAGGTAGGAGAGAGAAACAATTAGCAATATTTGTCATGTCAGCAGCTGGAGTTGGTAGGTGTAGCATGCCTTATGTGGGTGGGTGATGGCTATTGGGAGTGTTTATGGGAGTGATGTTCTGGAAAGATGACAATTGTTAAGTGGTGGCTCTCATAAGTCCTCAATGACCCACACTCACATAATTTGTGCAAGATCACATTGCATTTATGCTGTTGGCTGGGTGAGTTCTGCAGGCTGGTGATAGAAGGGTGGGGAGGTGTTTACTCTAAAGATGAATTACAAGATGAGTACATGTACTTTATTGACTGCCAGTAGAGTACACTTACATTCATGTAATTAGATCACTTCATTTTTCAAAAACAGCTAACTTTGACCAACAGGATAACTCCATTATTCTAGGTAAATAATATGCTGTGTTTTTTATATTATGTCCCAAAAATATTGGTTTTATGAGGATTTTTGGTGACTCAAGAATGTCTTGCTCATTTATAGCATTGGGCTTATGGAAAATGTAGCTTCACATTCTAAACAACTGCTGTACAAACACACTCTTAGAATGTAACTTGTTCATAGTAAGGACACTGCCTGTACATGTTTATACTCTGTACTACACACTCAGAAGTTCGGTAGGGTGTAATAATCCCAGAAACTGTTTACAACGCACATGGCAGCTCCGCATTCCTTGCACCACATAGTAACTACCTTGTGTGCTCTCTCGCTTCTGTGTGTTCTTACATAATGAACTCTTGTGCTCCTTTTACCCTTTTTCCTGTGGAAGGTAGATTTTCAAGCTGGTGTCATAAGCATCTTTGAAAGCCAGTCTGTTTGGAGCAGAATGAGGCATTGTTGGTAAAGCAACTCCTCATTCTAACATTTACTACATACCTACCTTGTGGTGGCTACCTTGTGTAGCTTCTGGGGATCAATGGTCTCCGACCAGGCCTCCCAGTTGGTCATATGATCAATCAGGCTTTTGGACATTGCTGCTCACAGCCCGACATATTAATCACAGCCTGGTTGATCAGGTATTCTTTGGAGGTATTTGTCTAAGTCTCTCTTGAACACTGTGAGAGGCCGGCTAGTTATGCTCCTTACATGTGGCGGGAGTGTTGAAAAGTCTTTGACCCTCGATGTTGATAGTTCTCCCTCGGCATACCTATTGCACCTCTGCTTTTCAACAGAGGTATTTTGCACATCCTGCCATGCCTACAGGTTATGTGATGTTATTTTCACATGAGCGGGTTGTCCATAACCCTGGACAACCTGTGTTGGCCAGGGTTATGTAGATGTTGTGATTCCATGTGATTTGTAACTTGACAAGCAACTGTGACAGTGGTAAAACTGAACATGCACATTATTGGTTTTTACCTGTCATGATCTGACCACCATGAGAACGAGGGTAGACCGCAGGCTGGCTAGACTAGATGACCAAGCCACACACCAGAGGATGAGAAGACGACGTTTCATAACTCTGCGCTGCTCATACTGATATGTCTCAGATGATAGGTATGTACTTGCCAATAAAACGGTTTCCAGCAGTTGTATGTTTTGGTTCTCTTGACTTTCTGGATGCCTTCTCTGGTGAGGTGACTGTCATTTTCTCCCTGCATCTTTTGGAGGGGGGATTCGGGGGTTCAAGTTCTGGCTCTGGTCCCCCAAAGGCATAAAAACAATGTGCCAGATGTGATCTAGTAGTTGCGGGCCATCTCGGCAAGATAGCTTTAGGAACCACCAGAGCTCGCCCAGAAATTGGTGTTTCATTACATTCAATGCTAGTTTTCCAATTTCATGCACATAGGCCGGAACTGGGTGCATGTGATTTTGGGTCCATGGACTTCACTAGGCAGTTCTTGTTTTGTAGGGGTGAGCTGATGTTCAAGTTAAATGTTTTTTTGTTTGTGTAAACCAAAATGAAACGGTAATGTGTGGAATAACTCCAGTTTATGTACACATAATTGACAAAAAGTGAATTTTGTATGTAGGCCTACCTTGTAATATATACAGTACACCTTTATTGCACAAAAATCTGTTCCTGGTACTACTCAAAGGAAGTACCTTGCAGTCCATTCCCTTGCTGCTATTATATCTAGGAACATTGTGCAGGAATAGTTTCAAACACTGCTGCGAAGACCAAAGTATGACAGATGTTAATCGTTGGCCAATAGCACTGAATAACCTCATTGCACAGTAAGCCAATAAAATTCATAACCAAGACCCACACAAATTCTGCTAACTTCATTACATCTATAAATTGTAGATGTATTATAACCATATTTACATCATTTGTATAAAATCTGGGCGATGATAACCAACAATATGATAACAAAGTTTCCCAGTTTTAACATGCGACGATAACCACACTTAAAGGGGTTAGTGGAAAATATATAGGTTAAGTAGTGCCAATGTAAGGGATATATAATAAATGGAAACTTTCCATGGAAGAGTGATTGTTTTCAGTTAAGAGATGCCTGAATTAATTGATTTTGCAACCATTGAGAGGCACACTGAATTCACTAAAATTTCTAATTTCAGTATTGATTTAATATTAATTTTTAAGTCTGAATTTAGAATATAGTACTTCAGATTAATATAATTTATGACAATAATTCTATAAATATTTGTTTTGGGTTTTTATTTTATTTTGCAGATACAACCTCAGTTACACCAGCAGATCCTATTGGCAATGAACCAAAAATTGAAAATGGGAAGTTGTATTTTGACAAAAAATGGTAGGTATTACATTTAGTTTGCTATAACACACAATTCCATAAAATACCTTAAATATATTTCAGCACAGATCAACTGCTTCCACAAATGTGTGTGTAGGATAACTCTGTGCTGTAGACATTTGTAATGTTGGCTCATCTTTTCTTCTAGACTGTCCCACATTCAGAGCAGATGGATTATGTTGGCAGAATATTCCAACATTTGTATTGCAAACCTTTTGTTCACTTACAGTTATGAAGATCTAAGAGATCTTCTTTTAAATTTACTTAGAAACTTTCTACCAAGATAGCTATCCTTCTCTCATTCTTTCTGGCACCAGTCTCATTCTTGAATTGTCTGCTAATTAGCTTTGTCAAATTTTGCTATTCAAAATAATGTTAAAGTTTATAATGAATAAAGAAATAGGAATAGATAGCTGCACATGATCAGAATGCAACTCCTGCCACCCTGACCACAAGCCTTATTTAGAAGCTTAAGTTTCAGGGCTGCAAGAGAATCTGCATATTCTGCATTGCACTGAGTGCTGGAAAAAATCTACATAATATAAATAATTGTATACGAAAGTACTGTGTAGTTGTACATTTATATTACATTTTCAAGCATAATGTATTGTTCATTTATTTGTGTTACAGGTTCCATAAAGGGCAGGCAGTTATGATTGAATGTAAAGATGGAACACGATTTAATGCTATCCTTACAGTAGCAGGTGCTGATATGGTAAGCTAATATTTGTATTGTTCTTTGTTCTATATCACAGAATATTGCCTTTTCCGTGTTACTCACATTTGTTTTCCACCAAGATGGAAAATTTTCCCCCCATTAGTGGAAAAAAAATTGGTCTCCCCCCCCTCCTCCCCCCATCCTTTTTGTTCCCCTCTACCCCCATCCTATTTGCTCACCTCTCCCCCATCCCGCTTGTTCCCGTCTCCCCGCCCCATCCCGCTTGTTCCCGTCTCCTCCCCGTCCCGCTTGTTCCCGTCTCCCCCCCCCCATCCCGCCTGTTCCCGTCTCCCCCCCCCCATCCCACCTGTTCCCGTCTCCCCCCCATCGCACTTGTTCCCGTCTCCTCCCCATCCTGCTTGTTCCCGTCTCCCTCCCCATCCCACTTGTTCTCGTCTCCCCCCCCCCCATCCTGCTTGTTCCTGTCTCCCCCCCTGTCCCACTTGTTCCCGTCTCACCCCCCATCCCACCCCCCATCCCGTTCCCGTCTTCCCCCATCCCGCTTGTTCCCTTCTCTCCCTCCCATCTCCATCTGAACCCGCTCCCACCTCGCCTGTGGGCCCGCTCCCACTCCCCAGTAGTGTTGCAACCGGAGATGCCTTCAGGCGGCATTTATGTAATGCATTTCTTAGTACAGTAATATAAAACAAAAATAGTTCATTGTTAGGTGCTACTATACAACTATACAGTAATGAATCATACTGTATTTTTATATACCCTAGGAAAAGGTATACTGTATACAGCATTTCGCATGAATACTTTTGACTTGCCATTTGTAATTATAAACACCTCGTGCATGAATAACTGGGGCTTCTTGATACCCACCTGAGTGATGGAGACAGGAATGGAGGCAGAGGGGGGATGTATGCTATGGGTGTCTGGAGTAGAGGTGGATCTTTAAATGAGGGTATTAGCTTGTAGATGTTGGTGTCTGGGTGTGGGTGTAAGCAAGGAGTGTTGTCACTGGAAGTGGACAAGACTAGCATAGGTTCACTGGCTCATGTTAACCCTATTGAAGCTGGTGTTGGGCAATTATTATTGTATATTTCATTGGTAGAGAGTAGACTGAATGAAGAATGATATTGTTTAGTCTCAACGCAAATTAAATTGGGCTCGTTTCATTTCATTAATTAATATTTGGACTGTCCAGCTTGTTGAGCTTAGGCTCGGATTTGATTTAGATATTAAATTTACTACCTTGGGTAAATCAGAGTTTGCCTTTTTAAATTTGTTTAATTTATATATATAAATACTGGACTGTCTGAACTAGTAATTTATTACTATAAGTTAGTAATTTATAATTTAAGAGCTAAGCTGGCAGGGAGCCACCAAGAGGCTATTCAATGAAAACCAGTATTGAATATAATGAAATGCCTCTGGTAAAGCCCAGTGGCTCCTTGACTCCTTTCTTCCCTATCAGGTTTGTCGGTTCATTGTGCATCAGCTCCAGATTAATATCTCTGCAAAAAAAAAAAAAAAAAACTCCAGATTAAGCTTAGAGCTTGCTGTTAACCTGGGGCTCCTGGCCACCTGGTGTTGTCTTGGTATTAATGGGTTTGAGCTAGTTTTGAGTGAACCACTTGTTCTGAATGAAATGTTTGTAGTATTTTAGCTGATCCCTGGATTTTGTTTTCTGCAAACTTTGCAATTGTCCGTAAAGCTTTGCTGACTTCTTGGATGTTTTCCCAGTGAGGGTGACAATAATAGACAGTTCTCTCTGTGCCCTTGTGAGAGGGCCAATTTCTGGCTATAGTGTCCAGTAGTCTGCAAATAGGACACCTACAACTAATCGAGACCCAGTAGTCGGGAGCCATCTCGGAGAGATAAATGCCTGGTGGCTCCCTGAAACTATCGGAAAGCGGCATTCCATTACATTCACCTCTGGGTTTTTTCATGTAAATCTCTCTTAACTCGTTGCACTTATAATTCAAATATTCTGTAGTAATACAGTGCAGCATTGGTACATTTAACATTTTTTATATTATTGAAGTTCATTTTTGATTAGGTTTTGCATCTGTTGACATAGTTTTCTCTAATTTATAAAAAAAAATGTATGCAGTACATATTTAACATTAGTTAATTAATACAAAATAGTTGAATTACTGTACAGTAGTTATGTTTCCATATTGTACAATATATTTATACATTGTATATAGTTTTGAGTCTGGCTTGTACATTCCTGAGGTAATTTTTCTTTCAGATTATGGTAAGAAAAGTTCCAGATAATATCCGCTTGAAAATAACCCTCGCTCAGCTGGCACATGGAAAATATCTCGTCCGCCGGCGAAGTTCAGCGTGACCAGTCGAGAAAACCTTTTTCAATTTTAATAGACCTTTGATCGAACTCTATCCTCCATTGTATAATGAGAGTGCATGAGTTCTTTTCCCTACATCAAAAGAATAGTGTTTCATGATTATGTATATTATTCAGCTTCTCCTGAAATTGTTCATTTTGACAGTAAGGTGATTGACTTCTGTAAGTAATTTATATATTTTTATACTAAACTAAACACTTCCTGGACAACGTTGCTGTTTGTCTTGAAATTTCCTTTCAAAAAATGTTTTGCAGGTCTTATGCATTTTTAGGTAATGAAGTGACTGATTTACTCATTTGTCATATGCTTAAACTAAGCCCTTACATCAATAACTCAATTAAGTTGTGTACTTGTTAAGAACGTATTAAATATATTATGATTTCAGCCATTTCTTTGTTTAAAATATGGCAACTGCCATATGAACAATTAAAGAAAACTTCTTAGAATGCAAAGTATTAGATAAAATAGTGAACAGTATGATGTTGACATCAATATAGACCCAGTAGATTAATGAAAATTAAGTCTCCCCTCTGTTTATAAATTTAATTACTTCCCAGAGACAGTTCGTAACCTGAAAATTCGCGACCCGAAACAAAATTTCCCATAAGAAATAAAGTAAATTGAATTAATCCGTTCCACACTCCCAACAATATTAACTTCAAAATACTTTTCATACCTAATACACAGAAATGTTTAGTACTATAGAATGTATAAGTTATAGCTTACCTTTATTGATGACTTGTTGGTGCATGGAAGACGGTGAGGGGGGATGGGGAGGAGGAGAGGTGTTAGTGTTTGGAAGGGGAGTCCCCTTCCATTATAACATCAGACACTCATGACGTCTCTGGGGTATTCTATCTCCTACGTTTTGTAGGCATGCCACTAGGAACTGGTTGTGGCTCACTGCTTGCTTGTCTTGCTCAGAATCTGTCTAAAGACATTTGTTTTCCCTACATTTTAAGGGGCTACCTTACCTTGAGGTTATCTTGAGGTGCTTCCGGGGCTTAGCGTCCCCGCGGCCCGGTAGTCGACCAGGCCTCCTGGTTGCCGGACTGATCAACCAGGCTGTTGGACGCGGCTGCTCGCAGCCTGACGTATGAGTCACAGCCTGGTTGATCAGGTATCCTTTGGAGGTGCTTATCCAGTTCTCTCTTGAACACTGTGAGGGGTCGGCCAGTTATGCCCCTTATGTGTAGTGGAAGCGTGTTGAACAGTCTCGGACCTCTGATGTTGATAGTTCTCTCTCAGAGTACCAGTTGCACCTCTGTTTTTCAACGGGGGTATTCTGCACATCCTGCCATGTCTTCTGGTCTCATATGATGTTATTTCTGTGTGCAGGTTTGGGACCAGCCCCTCTAATATTTTCCACGTGTAAATTATTATGTACCTCTCCCGCCTGCGCTCAAGGGAGTACAGTTTTAGGCTCTTTAGTCGGTCCCAATAGTTTAGATGTTTTACTGAGTGGATTCTAGCAGTAAAGGATCTCTGCACGCTCTCCAGGTCAGTAATTTCTCCAGCTTTGAAAGGTGCTGTCATTGTGCAGCAGTACTCTACTCTAGAGAGCACAAGCGTTTTGAAACGTATCATCGGTATAGCATCTCTAGTGTGAAAAGTTCTTGTTATCCAACCTGTCATTTTTCTTGCAGTTGTGACGGCTACTTTATTGTGTTCTTTAAAGGTAAGGTCTTCCGACATGAGTACACCCAGATCCTTTACATTGCCTTTTCGTTCTATGTTATGATTTGACTGAGTTTTGTACGTGGTTTCCGTTTTTATATTTTCATTTTTTCCATAGCGCATGAGCTGGAACTTATCTTCGTTAAACACCATATTATTTTCTGTAGCCCATAGAAAGACCTGATCTACATCTGACTGGAGGTTCGCCGTGTCCTCTATGTTGCCTACTCTCATGAAGATCCTAGTGTCATCTGCAAAGGATGATACAGTGCTATAGGTTGTGTTCTTGTCTATGTCCGAAATGAGGATGAGAAAAAGTACTGGAGCAAGCACAGTACCTTGGGGGACAGCTCTTCACGGTTGATGGGCTGGATTTTATTTTGTTGACTATTACACATTGGGTTCTGTTGGTCAGGAAATTGTAGATCCATTTGCCTATTTTTCCGGTAATTCCTTTTGAACGCATTTTTGTGTGCAATAACACCATGGTCACATTTATCAAAAGCTTTTGCGAAATCTGTGTAAATTACATCCGCGTTTTGTTTGTCTTCCATAGCATCTAATGCCATATCATAGTGGTTCAGCAACTGCGACAGGCAAGAGCGCCCTGTTCTGAAACCATGTTGTCCGGGGTTATGGAGTTTCTGTGATTCCATGTATTTTGTGATTTTACTTCTTAGCACTCTCTCAAAAATTATGATGTGCGATGTTAGTGCTATCGGTCTGTAATTTTTTGCCTCTGCCTTATTTCCTCCTTTATGAAGTGGTGCTATCTCTGCTGTTTTTAGTATATCGGGAATAACGCCAGTATCTAGGCTTTGTCTCCACAGAATGTGGAGCGCCTGCGATAGTGGTTTTTTACAGTTCTTTATGAATATGGAGTTCCAAGAATCCGGGCTTGGTGCAGAGTGCATAGGTATACTGTTTATGGCTTCTTCAAAATCCAGTGGGGATAGGGTGACGTCTGATATATGATTTGATGTTGGTATCGTATCCATGAAAAATTCATTTGGGTTATCAATCTTTAGTGTGTTTAATGGCTCGCTGAAAACAGAGTCGTACTGCGTCCTCAGTAGCTCGCTCATTTCTTTGTTGTCATCGGTGAAAGTTCCATCTCCCTTTCGCAGGGGCCCGATACTAGATGTGGTTTTTGATCTTGATTTTGCATAGGAGAAAAAATATTTCGGATTTCTTTCTATTTCACTGATGGCCTTTTGCTCTCTTTGCCTCTCCTGGGTTTTGTATGATTCTTGTAGCTTCCGTTCAATTGTTTCTATTTCTCTACCTAACCTTCTTCGCCGTTCTTGAGATAGGGTGCGACTCTCAAGTTGTTCCGCGATTCGTTTTCTTCGCCTATATAGGGAATGACGTTCCCGTTCCAATCTGCATCTCTTCCCCTTTTTTCTTAGAGGTATGCGGTTTGAACATATTTCTAGTGCTACTGAGCTTATTTTTTCCAGGCACTGGTTCAGGTTTGTATTTTCTAGCTGTTCTTCCCAGTTTATTTCTGTGAAGTCCTGGTTTATTTGCTCCCAGTTTATCTGTTTATTATTGAAGTTGAATTTGCTGAAATCTCCTCCACCGAGAATCTGGACTGGTTTTGAAGGTCTACTCCCCATGGTTGTCATAACTTCAATTAAGTTGTGATCTGAGTAACCAAAACTGGGCATCTTGGTCCAAAAAATGCAAAAATGGAAACTCGTTCAATTTCAATCAAACTTTTTTGACAAGTTCTATATGAAAAGTGTTTCATCTGGTCCAAGTTTCAGCATCGTAGCATAAATAGGAAGGGAGAAAAAAAATATTGAAGTAGTTGTGAAAATTATGCCAAAATGGTCAAAATCGATTATCAATCAAAAGTGTCAACTGAAATCATAGCTATGACTCTTTGCTATCACAATAGCATATATTAAACAAATATTATAATTAGTTTAATTGGAAAAAAAAATTTAAGTTTTTTTTTTTTTTTTTTTATTATTTTTTTTTTTCTTCTTCTTCTTTTTCTTCTTCGGGCAATTTGCATCAAACTTACACACCTGACTGTACGTAAGCCTATCTGTAAGGATGCCAATTTTGGAGAAAATTGGTTGATGTCAACCTCAGCCACAGATTTTAGAACCTTAGACTTTATTCTTTTTATTTTTTTTTCAATTGACACAAACGTTTACAAAACTGATTCATTTTTTATTCAATTTACATGAAACTTACACAGTATATGTGGAGGGCATGTCTCTACATGTGCTTGTTTTCATTTTTCTGTAAGTTCATTTATTGATTTTATAATAGCAATAAACATGCCATATTTGCATAATTTTTGGGGGGAACTTTGAACATTTGTATTAGGAAAACTAAAGATGTTTTGGAAATTCTAAAACACACAATCCTTTATTATATGCTAATGTGTCAGAAAATGGTCACAGAATAATTATATCTGAAACATGTGTTCTGAAGTGTAGACTTGAAAATATGTAAAAAAACGTTGAAAAAAAAAAATTCCCTTTCTATTTACGCTGCAGTACTGAAACTTGGGACAATTTCAGCACTTTTCATATACAACTAGTCAAATAATATTTGTTGACATTGAACAACTTTTCCAACACCACCCTAATGCCCCCTTAACACTTGTTTCTAGTGAGACATCACATTGTCATTAACCCTTGTGTGGCTCCGGGCTATTTAGCATTTGTCACCCACAGGCGCATACACAAAACAAAACAAAAAATTTTCTTACTAACCTGTTAATTTGTGTTCTCTGATTATGGGAAAAATAATAAAAAAATCGTAAGTGGCATATATTGCCCGCTATAGGGTGGGGAAGTCTGGCAAAAAACAGGCGCTGACTCAGCGTGCGTCCCAGACGGTCTGTTGCTCGCCAGCTGTCAGGCAGGAGTGGCCACAAAGAGATAATTACCTAATTATTTCAATGTCTCTGATTGATTTTTCGTAGTTATTTTGCTGTAATATTATTCAACAGTGTATAGTGTGATATATTTATATAATAAAATGAGTGAATCATTGCTGTACTCAAAAATATGGTGTGCATATTGTTGATTCAATTATGTTCATCAAGCAGTGAACAAATACTTTGTCGGTTATTACACTATATACACAGGTTATATATAAGTATCTGCATGTTTTGTTCACCATAACGGACCATTAAGTTCCTATTATGAGTCAAAAAGCTATGCGGAGTGACCGCCACACACCAGCTAGCCACTCGCTGCCACTCACTCCCTCAACACCTCACTCGCCCACATTCTCCTCCCACCATACTGTTTTTGCTTTTATTCACTATATACAGATGTTTTATGTATAAGTATCTACATGTTTTGTTCACCACAACTGTACAACTAGGTTGATATAGTTAGTTCAGGCACTAAGAGACGTCGCTACACAGTCAGGTGGCGGCTGCTTCCCTCACACATTCAAGGTCAGACGCACTAAAATTTCACCCCCAACAATACTGTTTGTGATGTTATTACCCTATATACAGACGTTATATATAAGTATCTACATGTTTTGTTCACCATAA